CCTCCTCCTCCTCCTCTTCCCCTCTCCCTCCCCCTCCTTCTCCTCCTCCTCTCCCCTCTTCGTCCTCCCCTCCCGGTCTCTTCCCTCACCCTTCCCCGCGCCCCCATCTTTCCCTCCCTCCCTCCCACCCCTCCAGCAGCGATGGCAGAGGAACAACAACAGCCGCCACCACAGCAGCCTGATGCCCATCAGCAGCTTCCCCCCAGCGCCCCCAACTCGGGGGTGGCCCTGCCAGCCCTTGTGCCCGGGCTGCCAGGGACAGAGGCCAGCGCGCTGCAACACAAGATCAAGAACTCCATCTGGTAAGAGGATCCTCCATCGCTGGGGTGAAAAAGCCCAGGCACATTTCTGCTGCAAAGTGGGTGGGGGGCGGCAGGCGGGGGAGCGGAGGAGGAGGTTGATGCTTTCATTGAATGTGGCTTTCCCCTAGTCGGGTGCACATTTGTAGGACCTCTGGAGGTGTAGGGACTTTGCATCAATCAGCCCCTGTCTCCTTAGCTAAAAAATGCTTTTACCCCCTCCTCAATTGTGAGTGCAGATAAACAAGTTTTTTGGTTTTATTTTTTCACTCATTGTAACAGAAATATGGGTCGGAATTAAGTCATATTGCATGATGGTGGCATGAATTTGGAACTGGAGAATGTGAAATGTGTTTACTCCTTTTTGCAGCCGTAGAAGGAGGAAGAAGTGTATTGTGAATTTTCACCAAACAGATATCCAAACAGATATTGTGCGTAAAAATATTAATATGCAGCACAAAACCTAATGTGTCTCTTCCTTTTCAGTTGGGTTAGCTGCTGTTTCTGAATGTTTTTGCCTCCTTTATTCTAATATTAAATTTCTTTTTCAGGGAATTTATTCTTTGCATTGATTGTGAAGAAAGTGCTTCTTTAGTATAAAATATTTTAAGATGGTAGTTTACAACAAAGTGTGTTGGGTTTTTTTTTTTGCTTAAAACATAGGGAATCAAATGTATTGCCATTTGTGTGTATTTTTAAAAGAAACCATTGATGGAATATGTTTGGCTATTTTACTTTCTCGTATGAAAATTTACAGTATTTCAGCATTAAACTCCTCAAGTCTAGTGGGAATCTTTTAATAATTAAATACACCGAGTTAAGTCCATCCACTGTTAGAGCCATTGCAATATTCTTTGAACATGAACTTGCATTGTTTTGTAGGATTCTTCATTAACTGCCTTTTTTTTTAAGTGTAGCAATATTTTTTAAATGGAAAGTAATATTTGGAATTTTGCCTAAGAGATTGCTTTTAATAGAAGTATAAAAAGAGAATTTCATATGGTATTTTAAAAAGCCTTGATTTTGAAAATGGAAATGAAATCTTTGCAGGGACATCATTGAATATGAGTACTAAAATATCAAAACTCATTTTCTCATTTTGAAAACATATCGTAAAGCAACTGGCATTGCATGTACAGTATTTACACATTTTTAAAGTGATACTTTTTAAATACAAGATTAAGGTTAGTTATACAGTAATTTTCATTATTTTCTTGGCATACATCCATGCCGTCATGATGCTGATATGAAGTAGGTCAGTGCAGGCTTTAATAGTTTCATCAACAGTAGTTGGCAGTTGAATATCTTGCTTTCAGTTTTAATTTTAAAATGAAGTTTAAATATTTTAAAGGAGTATTTTTTTGGCTTTGACAGTAGTCATATTGTGGCAACTTGAAAATAGGTCCGATAAATATAATTGGGGTGTGTGTGTGTGTGTGTGTGTGTGTGTGTGTGACAGAAAGCAGTCTTTATTCTTCAGTGGATACCCTCACCCCCTTATTAAAGCTATAATTTAAGAAATGGTGAATATCTTGCTTATCAAGGTTTTCACAAAACCAGTGTTGTTTTTTTTTTTAACCTCTAGTAACGTGATGTAACTTTGTGTTTCTGAAATCATCATTACATTGAATTAAACACCTTGATTTTTACATTCAGATGTGGCATATCCAAGTTAATGGACTAAAATATTTTGAGAGACAAATTTTAAAAGTTGATTTAGTAATGTATATTTTAATTTATTATGAGAACAAGAGGGGAAAGGAATCTTCACTTTATAGTTTTAAAATGAGTTGTAGAGGCAACTGAGTGAAATGTTTAAATAATGATGACAGTCGAGTGCACTTTTTGGTAAATAATGTGTAAATTTAATTATTCTTTGATATTTGCATATCCATTACAGCTGAACTGCTCTGACTTTAACATGAGAAAAACTTCTGAAGTAGAGTGCTCTCCAGTTTTTGGTGCTTGCTCTCAAAAAATAATGGGCAACAAACATGTGAATCCCAAAATATGAAATTTTGTATTTTTGTTTTAAAATTGTAATGGTATACTTACTAGCATCTGATGTTCAACTCTAGAAATCCTATTTGCAAAAATGATTTTTATATACTTAAAATTTCAGAATAAACATTTGTAGAGAGTAAACAAGATTAGTGAATATATTTAATAGTCTCATACCCCCTGCTCCACAAGAATGGATTTGTATTATTCATCAAGTGACTGTATAAAATAAAGATATCAAAAGTGAAAACTCCTTTACTATCGTGTTCTCCTAAGAAATAGTATATATGTATTAAATTTAAATAATTTTAATAGATGATTGCAGTTATTTAGATATTTCACATTTTTGAGGCAATATTATTTTACAAATTATTCTATCACCTGATAATATTCTGAGAGACTATCAGTTTTGTACTAGTTCCTGAATCATCCTTTGGTACCATTAATGAGAATTTAAAATTACTCTCAAAAGAAATGTGACATTTAAAAATTATCAAATGGGTTTTGCATTTGGTTTATCATAGTTTCTAAATTACTGGGCTTGCATATCACAAACAAGTCTGTACTTGTCCTCCTACTCTACAAATATAAATATAGTATGTGATGTAGGCCTTTGACTGGACAATGAGTTATTTATCAGTTCATAATTAATTCTGTTTATTAAACTAAAATACTGTTTGATAAAAGTACGCGCATTGAAATATCAGGCATTAAATGAGTCTGGAAAAAAAGCATTCAAAGTTGATTGGAAACTATTTCTTAAGAGTTGGAAATATATTTTAAAGGTAATTATAGAAAATAAGTTAGTACAAAATTGACACTGTTATGTTTCTATAACATGGTTATGAATACCTTCAACTGAAGTCTAGGTTAACAAGCTTGCATGTTTCTGATTCTTACTCCATAGACAAAAGGTCCAAATCACTGACACTACTCACTAGAAAGGAGATTTGTTAGTAGGCATGTGCTTTAGTACTGAATATGGTGTAAGGTTATTTGTATTTTCTAAAAAGTAGAATTCCAAAATAAGCTTATTGTTGTTTAAAAAAAAAAAACTAGTAACCCATGTATTTTACCTAAAACAAGGCCACAACCCCCAACCCAACCTAACTGCAAACTACTTTTAGCTTAAATTGCACCCCTCTTTGGTTACCTCAAAAAAAAAAAAAAAAAAAAGAAATAGCAAAGCAAGTTTTCCCTTCCTCTTATCTCTCAGTGTCTTCCTAGTTTAGTGAAAATTTTTTAGTGTAAGCAACAATAAACAAATTTACTAAGTCCTTTTATTTACCTTCTTAGGGCAGTTTTACTTGAAACCCTGATAGAATAAAATTGCTATGGAAAAAATAGGATTGATATGGTTTCTGCCTGTTTGTGAATTGAGATCATACCTACATGAGTGGGAGTGAATAACATGCATGCAGTGAGGCTGTAACATAGATACAGGTTGATCATCCCTAATCCAAAATCCCCCAAAATTCAAAATGCTCCCAAATCTGAAACACTCCAAAATCCCAAATGTTTTTAGTGCCACGAGTGAAAAATTCCACACCTGACTTCATTGTATCATGCACAGAATTATTTAAAATATTGTATAGGCCAGGTGCGGTGGCTCACGCCTGTAATCCCAGTACTCTGGGAGGCCAAGGCGGGCGGATCACCTGAGGTCGGGAGTTCAAGACCAGCCTGGCCATGGTGAAACCCCGTCTCTACTAAAATTACAGAAAATTAGCTAGGGGTGGTGGTGTGCACCTATAATCCCAGCTACTTGGGAGGCTGAGGCAGGAGACTCGCTTGAACCCAGGAGGCTGAGGTTGCTGTGAGCCGAGATCACGGCATTACACTCCAGTCTGGGCAACAAGAACGAAACTCTGTAAAAAAAAAAATTGCATAAAAATTCAGGTTATGTGTATAAAGTGTATATGAAACATAAATGAATTTCTTTTTTTTTTTTTTTTTTTTGAGATGGAGTCTCACTCTGTCGCCCAGGCTGGAGTGCAGTGGCGCGATCTCGGCTCACTGCGCGCTCCACCTCCCGGGTTCACGCCATTCTCCTGCCTCAGCCTCCTGAGTAGCTGAGACTACAGGTGCCCGCCACCGCGCCCAGCTAATTTTTTGTATTTTTTAATAGAGACGGGGTTTCACCGTGGTCTCGATCTCCTGACCTTGTGATCCGCCCGCCTCGGCCTCCCAAAGTGCTGGGATTACAGGCGTGAGCCACCGCGCCCGGCCATAAATGAATTTCACGTTTAGACTTGGATTACATCCCTAAGATACTCATTACACATATGCAAATATTCCAAAATCCAAAATAATAAATTGGAAGCACATTGGACGCGGTGGTTCACCCCTGTAATCGTAACACTTTAGGAGGTGAAGGTGGGTGGATTGCCTGAGCTCAGGAGTTTGCAATGAGCCTGGGCAACACGGTGAAACAGCGTCTTCACTAAAAATACAAAAAATTAGCCAGGTGTGGCATCGTGCGCCTGTAGTCCCAGCCACTTGGGAGGCTAAGGCAGGAGAATCCCTTGAACCCAGGAGGTGGAGTTGCAGTGAGCCGAGATCGTGCCACTGCACTCCAGCTTGGGCGACAGGGCGAGACTATGGTTCAAAATAAAAAAGTAAAAATAATAAATAAATAAACAAATCGGAAGCACATATGATCCCAGGCATTTCAGATAAGAGATAGTTAGCTTGTATTAAACTCGTACCTGAAAATTCAAAAGAAATCCTGATGTGTTATTTTAGAAAATATTCCAATACTGCATTTACTCAAATTCAGGGATTCTTAAAAGAATTTGTTATCAATTACTGTTTTTATTTCTGTAACTTTATTTGCAGGTGAGACCTCATAAACCTCTTCTTAAAACGGTCATATAAGATCTGTCGTTTTGCCCACTTTATGGAAAGAGATAAACAGTGACAGAAGACCTATAAGATTCCACTGATTCCTTATTAGACCCTAGAAAAAATGCTGGGATCAGAGTTCCTTATCTTTATTCAAT